AGCCTGGAGCAGAGAGGAGGCAGTGCCCAAAGGGTTAAACCCTGCAGGAGAAGCACAGCTGACACCCCAGCACCTCAGCCATGCAATCTGAGTAGCTGGCATGACTGCAGCCACATTTCCAGCCGCAGTTTCGCTAGGCACTGTGACCAAGGAGTAATTCAATGCAGCTGCCAAGGTCCCTGGGTATTGATACCAAGTGATTATTCAAGGTTTCCATGCAACAGTTGCATTTCTCAAATGATATGACAAAAAAAGAGAGCCTGAAGGGTGAGAGCAGTCTCCGGTTTCGGGCACTGGCTTAGGGCGCTCTCATTTAGAAAAGCTGCTTCCCCATTTGCTTAGGAATCATTTCTTCCTCTCAAATGATTACAAACTTCCCCCAGCCAATTTAACAAGTCTCAAGTGATGTGATGGAGAAGAAATCAATAACAAGTTTCTTTTAGCATGTCTCTTGAAGGACATCTGCAGCAGTGTGGGTGTGCAGTGTCAGGAGTCCTGCCCCGAGGAGGGATGGAACCTGCAGCCAAAGATCTTCCAACACACACACACACAAACCCAGCTATTTTTCTGCTGTGTTTTCAGTGATATTCTCTCCAATCCCAGCCAGGGAGAGCTAATGCTTATTAAGAAGTCAGCAGTGTCAGGTGCCACCAGGCTGAGGGAGCATTTTTTACACACATTTACTTAAGAAAGACTTAATTACCTTGGAAATAAGCCACTTGAACCAGCCTCCCAGAGTTCATTCTGAATATCCACAGAGTAGATTCAAGCAGCACTTCCAGGTTTTTTCCCTCTCCTGGACCAAACTGGCCACTTTGACAGCTTTGATTGACAGTGCTACAAACTGTGATGTGACACACATGGATGTGACATAAACACAAAGTTAAGGCTGCATGGAGTAACAGCTGCTTTTAAAAGAAAAGGTTTTGCTTTTCTGTTTGCTGTTCTAATATCAGAGTAAAGCTTCCTGTGGTCTCATGTAAAAGCCTTCCAAGCTTTGTTCAGTTTTTGAAATTAAAAAAATGTGCACAGGGAGAAGGACTGATGGGGGTTTATTAATGCAAGCATTTGCTTAACTTTTGTTTCAGCTCCAGCTCTGAGGTGGAAAAATATAATGAAAGGATGTCTGAGTGACCTGATGAGTAGCAGAAATACACACATTAAAATGCCCTCCCAGCTGTGTGGGGGAGTGGGCACAGGGAGCTCAATCAGAAGTGAATTCCCTATAAATATGCAGAGGAAGGATGGGGGCTGATTGCTGTCCTGATCTTGTTTGTGCTTTGAAGAGCTGGACATGAAATTCAGTGCTGGAGCCTGTGGTGTGTGGTCATGGCATAAGCAGGACTGTGATTTAGCTGCAGGACTAAAGCCCTGCCTAAACTCTGGCTTCTGGTGCCTCACCTGAGCAGGGCTGTGCTGGTCATTAGATGGAGTTACTGATTTGTGTCAGTGTCAAGTAACTGAGGAAATGTATCAGAAAACACTGGTTTCTCAGCTGAAAAGGAAGCAAAACATTCATGTTCCCTTATACAAGGAAAGGGAAGAGACTGTTTTATTAAGTGCATGTGACATTTCTGTAGCTTAATGGCAATATTCATTGTAGCTGGCTAGGTTTGCTAGACTGTGGCTGCCAAATACAATGAGTATCAATAACCCCGAGTGCTATGATTAATAAAAATAAACCTTATTCATTCAGCATAATAAATAATAATATAAAAACAAACATTTAATAACAACTGGTGTTTCATCCCGTGGCAGAAAATATGTCACATACAATTTTTCTAGTATTTTTTTTGTGTAATATAATGTTAGTAGGAATCTTCTGTTGAGATTTACAAAAATAAGACCCTCACCAAAGTCCCTGAACTTTCAAGCCAGTGAAGTTGAAAAAGGTGAAGCCTTTGGTGGCTCAATCTGCAGTCCCCAGGGTGCTACTCAGAGCAGGCAACACACAGAAGTACCAAAAAACCCTGCAGGAAAAGGGTGTTAGCACAGTCCCATCAATTAACCAGACCTCTCCTGGGCTAGAAGGGCTGAGTTTGGAGTGGCATTATTATTCACACAGTTACAGACACAGCTCTGAGTTACAGACACACTTCTGTGTTACATCCACAGTTGTACTTTATTCACACAGTTCCATAAGTCACACCCAGTGACAATGCAGAACTCCAGTGGTGACATTTATCATGCAAACAGGCCCATTCCTCGCTCCTTGCTCCTCAGATTTATTAAGCAGATTTATCTAAGAAGGGATCTGCATTTCTTCTTGTTCCCCCTCAATTTAAGTGTTGTGACATCCTGATATAGTGGCTCATCTCAGGTGTGTTGGGAGGGAAAAAGGCAATAAAAAAATCACGGTTTCTCAGTCCATGACAAGTGCTGCTACTAGTGAGGGTTGTAATTCAGCCCACATAGGCATCAGTAAACAAGTGCAAAAAGGCTTTTGCCTTTAATATTTGAAGCTCAGGCTGTCAGCTGTTCTAGAAGAGAATTTTTCAGGTATTTTTGTGCTATTTAAGCTGAGAAATAATGCCACTTCATTAATGTCAAGGACTTCAATATTTAATAATCAAAATCTAGTCTTATTAATAGATTAGAAAGGGATTAGTAAATCTGTAAAACAGGAAAAAGTGGAAATGCATGCTCTTTGGTTTAAATCCTATTCCAGAGATTCTTTTTCCCCTAAGTTTCAAAGCCATCATACAAAATCATTAATTTGCCAGCAAAATTGCACACTGGGTAGCTTATCTTAGTAAGTTTCCACTTGCTGTTAGTCTTCTTCACTGCAATTATGGTGAACTTATTCATGAAATCTCTGCAGAATTTGGCTCTAGCTGTTTTCTGTGCTCTCAAATCAGACTGACCTTTACATGTTTGCATATTGTCCTTTTGAAGCCAAGCAAAATGATTTCTATCTGGAAAATCTCAACATGGAAAACAGCTCAAGGATACTGTGCCTGCCTTGTATTATTTTATGCTGTAATTTGTTCCTTATCATCATGTTTCATATGTTCTTGACATTGGGCATAACAATTATAACAATGGCAATTGTGCTAAAAATATTTATCATTTAGTTTCAAGCTAGAAACAGCTCATAAGCAGATAAAGGGAACAAGTAGGGAAGCCAGGGCTGGCTGCCTTTGCAAATGTTTTTGCTTGGCATTATCTATTATCTCAGAATAGACATTTGCACACATTGCAGAGATGGGGAGAGAGCTATGCACCCATCCCAAATTCCAGGAACGGTGCAAACCAGACTTGCCAGGCAATGGCACACATTTATTTGCTTGCTGAGAAAGACAAATGTTTGTGGCATCTTTTCATTCCTGCTGCACACCAGACAGCCCCATCCTGCAGCCCTCACGTAGAGCCTTTTCTGCTCACTGTGTGTCTGGGGTTGAGGATGACTCCTGGTTCAGGCTGTGAGCACACACATTCACCCAGAACCACTGCAGAGCCAACACAAATCCCTGGATTATCTCCCAATTATATGGAAAAACAAAGATTAATATGCTCATTAGACCTTGTAACACAGCATTTGTGTAATGGGAACCTCGTTACCTGTTGGTTCACGTTTACCAGAAAATGATGGTGCTTATGAGAAGAGATTACTTTCTTCTTAACTGGAAAAGCAAGTTATTTAAGCCGAGTTTGCTTTATATTTCATACTCCTTCCTCTGTCAGCCTTACACATGCACACTTAAGGGCCCATTATCTTCTCATTGATGTGAGGGCATTATGTGTGTAGCCACCATTAATGGTAATGAAAATGGCTCCTGTTAATCTCCCGTGCGCTGATAGTCAGATAATAGCCTACTTATTAAGTACAGAGGCCAGACTAGGAGTTGCACTGAAATGAGCAGCGTATTGTCTCTGTGGGATTCAGATGTAAACACTAAATCATTGCCCTGTGCCTACAGCTGATGATTAAAAAGAAGTTAGCAGTAGCATAAATGTGCTCGCCTGGCCTGTGCTTACAAACATCACAAAGCAACTCGGGGTGCTCTTTCCTTTTGATCCACCCTCACCTTTGGGAGGATCTCTGGAGACAAAGTTCTAGCTGGAAGGGACATACAAGGATCATTGAGTCCAACCTGGACTTTTTGGTACACAGGAAACCCCAAAATCCCACTCCGTGCATCCCTGAGAGCATTGTCCAAAAGCTCCTTGAGTTCTGGGAGCCTTGGGGCTGTGACCATTCCCTGGAGAGCCTGCTCAGCACCCAACCACCCTCTGGGGGTAGAACTTTTCATAATATCCAACCTAAACATCCTCTGACACAGTTTCAGCCATTCCCTTGTGTCCTGTCACTGGTCACCAGAGAGCAGAGATGCTCCTCCAGTTCCTTTCGTGAAGAACACAAACCTCGATGATGTCTCCCCTCAGTCTCCTTCAGGCTGAACAACCCAAGGACCCTCAGCTGCTCATCTAATGGCTTTCCCTAGACCCTTACTCATCCTTGTGGCCTCCTTGAGATGCTCCTTAGTAGCTTTAGCTCTTCCATATATTGATTGGGGTTCCCCAAACCATCCCACAGCAGTGCAGGCAGAGCTGGATGTGAAGCTGGGGGAGGCCCGGGGGTCCAACCAGCCCATCCCCATCTGCTATTCCCAGCTTGGGAGCAACATGGGGCATCACCTGAAAACCCTGCTTTGCTCACATCCATAGGTGTGAGAGGAAAAACAACATAATTCACATAATTCACCCTCATGGGCAGCCTCCCCTCAGCGATAAAGCCGGGGGTCGTTTTTACAGCCTGGAACCGCACAGAGAGCAGCGCGCCCGCAAGGTTGGCTGTAAATCTTTATTTCAGCTTTGCCCGGTGGAAACAAATCCCTTAAAATCCCTTAAACTTCTCTCTGGAGCACGAGAGTTGGACAGAACCGAATGTTTTGGGCGCTCCTGGCCTGGCCCGGCCCGGCACGCAGCGGGTTAAGCCGTGCGCCCACAATGCCTCGCGCCCTGCAACGTCGGCAGCGCCGGGCGGGACCGGGCCGCGGCCGGGACCGGGATCGGCACCGGGATCAGGACCGGCACCGGGATCAGGACCGGCACCGAGACAGGGGCAGCAGTGTTGCTCAGGGTTGTGGTGCGTCCCCGTGGCTCCCCGCGCCGGCGCTGGCTGTGCCGGGGCCGCCCGTGTCCCCCAGCGCAGCGCTGAGGTGGCGGCGCTCGGGCCCGGCCCCCGCACTGTCACACAGGACGGTGCCGAGGGCGGGCGAGGTGCGGGTGTCGGGCTGGCGTGGCGGGCAGGACGCATCACCCTGCCCGCTATTTCAGCTGTTTCTGCGTTCTTTTCTTGCCTAGAAAGCAGAGGCCGGAGGGCTCGGCGGAACCCGGCCATGTTCTGAGGGAAGCTGCAGGACGCCGCTGGGATCCGGGTAGCGCAGGTGTGCCCGAAGGAATCGCCCTTCTCTCGGCCCTGCGAGGCGCTGGGTGAGACGGGTGAGTGTGAAATTGCTCTGCTTTAAAAGTGTGCACCGGTCTTTGATGTATTTGCGGAGGAGAACCGTGGCAGCTCCATGGAGATGGGCACAGTGTGAGATTGCAAAGGTTTCTTCAGCCTCTGTGGCCTTTTTGCACTGGTGGGACTCGCAGGGAGCCTTCAGGACCATGAAGTCACCAGGCCACGTCACCTGCTGACATTCCGTGTGCTGAATTGCAAAGCCCTTTGCAGGCTGGCTCTGAATTTGCTGCTGTATTAGAGGAGCAAAGTCCTGTTAGGTGTTATTTCCACTTCTAGTCCACTTCTGCCTTTTTGCTTATTTAGCAAGTTTCTGGTTAGTTTCATAACCAGAAAACTCATATGGTGTACATGTAGTTTTTTCTCTGGGCGCTGATTGTTTGGGAAATAAGAGTGTGAGATTGATCTGTGTGAAGCTGCCTCTGCTTTGAAACCCTTGTCAAGAATATTTATATTCTTCAATGGAAACTTATTCGAAACTAAACATTTGCTTCACTGCTTATGTCCATTTCTATTAGATCAAAACAATGTATATTTCTTTAAGGTGGTTTCTTTCTTCAGTATTTAGTCATGAAACTTAAACAGCAAGTGGTTATATGTCCAGTTAGTTACCAGGGCTCAGGTTTTTAGTGGTAATCAATGATAGTTTGAACCCTTAAAGCTTTGTAGGAAAATCATTAAAAGTAAACTAGGTACCTCTAAAGATATTGCCTATTAGAAAGCTTAGAACATGATATTTTTACTTTGTCTTTTATTCCCAAATGCTTTGGTGGAGGAGGACAAGATGAAAAGCTGGTGCCTTTAGTTACCTCCTCCTTTTCTTGGATGTCGTGGTGTGGGTGAAGCTCTGCCTTCCCACCAGACAGACATGATTTGGGCAGGGAACTTGGTGCATGTGGAGTGGGTGTATGTTCAGACTGCAGTTGGCCAAAGTCTTTCAGTTTTTGTTTAAAAAAAAGTAATGCTTTTGGCAGAACCAAAAGCAATCACTTCCTCTGTCAGCTTGGAGCTGGAGATCTGAAACTGGTGTATAAGCCCTGAAGGGGGCTGGATATTTGCTGTTGGAGGATGGATTTAACTTTCTGCTTTGTAGACAATTCCATGTGCTGAGTTGGAGTGGGGAGAGATTTTCTTTTTCAGCTCCAGCAGTGCTCATCTGCCATTGAGGCTGGAAGACCTCTGCATGTAGACTGCCTCTGTTGGTTATTCTGATTGAAAACCTGTGAAAAAGGAGGAAAAGTGGTAAAGGAAAGGTAGGGGTAAGAGGGTTGAACATCCAGGCAAAGAGAAGAGCTGTGGAAGCTGTCAGTAATGTACAGGAAGATGCTGGGGAAATTCATTCCTGAGGAAGAGATGTTGGCATGCAAAGAGCAAGCAGCAATGATGGCAGAGAGGAGGGCCCAGAGGGTGTACTGTTGTCTGTCTGGCTATTCCTGCTGAGTTATTTACTTAATTTCTCTACTGCAGAGGAAGAATTCTACATTATCTCACCAGGGACAGATAGTGGAATTGAAGACAGAGACTGGGAGTCATATAAGTGTGTTTATGGTTGTTATTTAGGACATGAGCAAATGCATATAGTGCTATCTCCCTCCCTGCTCACATGCACATGAGTAAGTCAAGGAAGGCTAAATGTTATTGGAATGCTGTTGGAAAAAGTGTGTTTCATTATATGAGGAGTCATATGACACACTTTCATTCTCCTGTTCTTAAAGTTACACAATTTTTATTAGATTATTGATAAAAATAACTGTGCTCAGTTTTATTTTCATACAGAATGGCAGGAAGATTTTATTCACCACTCTTTGCAGTAATTTTTATCACAATTACCTGGTTTTGCCCAATTAAACCAGGCTGAAAAGGTGGCACGTTCTAAACATCAGTGAAAGCACTTCACCTTAAATTCCACAGAATTAAGCATTGTCAGCAAGATGTTTACAGAGGAATAAGTGCTTTAGATAAAAAGCAGTGACTTCTGCTACAAACACCCTCTGCTTTTAGCACTGGCAATACGTAGGTTCAACACCGAGCTTCTTTTCTGAGTCATGGTATCTTAGTGGGTGATGCACAGAACTATTTATTGTACTGCTTTGCTTTAGGGGTTGAACTTGATGTCAGTCATACAAATGCAATTTTTCCTTACCTGGAGCATTTTACCTTTTTAACCACCCTTCCTTTATTTATTAAAGATCAATCCTTCCTCCATCCCCTAGGGCTGTTGTATATAACAATCATTTACCTTCTAAAATTATTGTGAGCTTGTTAATTTTGTTGATGTTCTAAGGACTTCTGATTATTTATTCAAGTAGCACAGTGAACAAGTTGCATAAAGGCATTTTTTCCTCTCACACCAATATTTGGTAAAAATATCAACCTGCTGTTTTATGCTTTGTATCTGCCTGGCCAGTAAGCTTGACATTTAGTAGTTGGTGCTGTTTCTAGTCAGCTCGGTGACTTCTGTCTTTTATTACATCTTAGAAGTTTGTTTTCTGGAGTAGAAATGATAAGATGGAGAGGAAGTAAAAAGGAAGAACAGATGTTGTTTATTTTTTAAAGTTAATTTAAATATTATGCTATTAGTTGATAATAGGAATTTATTTTTAATCTAAATTGCAGCCTTATGCTGCACTCTACCCTATAGTTTTTCACATCATGAGTGCTTTGTGTACTTAGGGTTTTTCCAGGCTGTGTACTGTGTGTAAATCACATTTTTTGTCTTAATGTGAATTTTATCCATAGCTTGACACTACTCCCTGCTGTTTTCTGCGTCATAAAAATTAGAGTGAGATGATGTGGTCTGCCAGCAAGACATGCCTGTTGAATTACAATATTATTTTGTGTAGAAGATCTCAAGAATTGTCTTAATTTCTTAGAATTCAGTTGACAAACAAACTCAGTATTTCTGGAAAATTACAAGTTCTTCTATAATCTAGTAAAGGGCTCTTTTAGCAACATGTTCTGCACTCTGAAGTGTAAGAGTTTCTGCTATTTTTTGCATAGGTCTGATGAGTTGTGTGCATGTGATCTGGTGAAATCGTGGATGTTAGGAAGTGCTTTCAGGAAGGGTTGTGGATGGGCCTGGGAGCAGCAGCCAGCAGAGTCTGTTTTGATACCACTTGTGTCATAGAAGAATTCCTGTATTTATCACCCCCTGCCCACTTTTCAACCACGACTGAATTACACCTTTCCGCTGGTGGAGTTAAGATGAATAAATCACCCCAAAAGTGCAAAGTAAATGGAAAAACCAGATTGTGGGGTTTCTGGTGGTTTGGTTTGTCTGTTTTTCCTCTGCAGCTGGTTGTGAGTCAGTGGTTTAGATTGCAGGCTCTTTGTCACAGAGCTGTGCTTGTGAGGTACTGAGTGTCCTACCAACATCAAATCCCTCATCATGACTTCGTTTCTTTTTCTCCCTTTGCAGAATCATGGCAAGTCCAAGGACAAGGAAAGTCCTCAAGGAAGTCAGAGCGCAAGATGAGAACAATGTGAGAAAATTATGATCTTTAGATCAGTTTTGTAGAATTGAATTTGCTTTTTACCTACTCTAGAAGTATGCTGGGGTCTACTACACCTGCTGTTGTCTTTGTGCTGTGGCTCACTAAAGCTAACAAAGAAATTTGGATATCTCATGCATGCATTACAATACATTGCTGAATATTTGGCACAGGTATTTCAGAAGTTCTAGTAATGCTGAAGCCCCTGGGGTCTTTTCAACAAGTTGTGTCTGGGGCACAAATTAAATTAAAATAGTCCATTTCAAGTAGCTTGATTATACCTTAAATGTGATAGTCCATGGAAAGATTCACTTTTATTTATATCAATACATTAAATCTTGAGTGATAAATCCGATCATAAAACTGAAGTTGTTGCACTGTGTGAGCAATAAAGCTATTTCTAAAGAAAAAATTCTGTTTAGATCTGCTACCATTTACTGCCAGACTGTAGTGTGACTGAAAAATGTTCCAAACTTTAAATATTGCATTTTTATTTTGCCAAGAAAACCTCAAGAATTCAGTTTGGTTACTTTCTTTCAAGGCAATAAAAATGAAATCAAAATGAATTCTTTGCATGGTAATTTCCATTTGCTTGTCTGTATTTCCTCACTGGTGTTTGGTAGTTGGTGCAGTAATTTTTATAATCCAAGCAGCATAAATAAATATCTGAAAGAAGTTTATGATAGCAGGGAAGGTGTTTCCAAACACTAAGAACCCTTCCTTCTGAAATCATTTTCGGTGTCTGATGTTTTCATGATTTGCCTTTTTGAGCTGTGAAAACTTGCCATGGACAGTGATGACAGATTGCAGAAGTAACTGTTTTTCTGTCACAGGTTTGTTTTGAGTGTGGTGCATTTAACCCCCAGTGGGTGAGTGTGACCTATGGAATTTGGATCTGTCTGGAGTGCTCAGGAAAACACCGAGGCTTGGGAGTTCACCTCAGGTCAGCCTTTCCAACACACCAAGGACTGAGTTGCAGAACCTCAGGGTTCATTATGGCTGTGAACAGCATGTGTTGGTTTGGAATGTATAGAATGTCACAAATCCAACATTTCACTGGCAGTTCTGCTTCATGCTCCTCTCCAAATTGGGCTTTGCTCTCTGTGCCTTGTCTGTAACTAGTTGCTTACAAAACTGTAATCTGTTCAGGAGATTTCTTTTTTCTTTGTAATATAAATGATAGTTTTTGTTGTTTTCCAAGAACTGTGCTTAGCTGAGATGGGATCTATGGAATAAGAACTGTTTGGGGTTCTGGAGACCCCAGAGGGTCAGAGCAGGGAACAGTTACTCACATGAGGAAAGGAGAGGAAGTCCAGGAGGGAAATCATCAAAGCAAGGAGGCCATTCAGAAGTACATTCTTTGCTTTTCCAGGGGTGATTTGAAGCTCATTAGTGAGTAGAAGTTGCACAGGAGAGGAACCTTTTTAACTGTTCAGTATGTAGCATGGAAGAAAAGATGAAATTTCTGAGATGAGGACACAGAATCATAAAATTGCCAAGGTTGGAAAAGACCTCTAAGATCATTGACTCCCACCTTCAAAATACATGATAATAGACAGAAAAAGAAAATCACAGAGTGAAGTATGGGAAAAGTTTCTGTTACTTAGTGGGCTAGATTAATTTCTGGACTTTGAAGGAAGCTGCTTTTTCAGTCACTTGCCTTCTGTTGACTGTCTCCTTTAAATGCCAATAAATGACATGATTTTGGCTTATTTCAGTGAGGATCTGCCCACCTTCTTATGTTGATCTGTCTTTCTGTACTTGGAGAGTGTTCTCTAAGATGTTTATACTCTCAACTTTTGAGATAGGTTGTAATAAGCTTTTTTTGTGTCCCTGTTGATACAGCATGAAATTACAAGCTGTGATCTAAATTTAATTTTTTTAAACCTGCTTTTCAGTTTTGTACGTTCTGTAACCATGGACAAGTGGAAGGATATTGAGCTGGAGAAAATGAAAGCAGGAGGTAACAGCAAATTCCGACAGTTCTTGGAGTCTCAAGATGATTATGATCCATGCTGGACAATGCAAGAGAAATACAACAGCAAAGCTGCAGCTCTGTTTAGAGACCAGGTAGGCTCAGTTTTAGGTGTTTTCTCACCCCTGTGATCTGAGAATATCAATGTGTTTTGTAAGCACTTCGTTTTGAAAGGAGAGAAATTGCAATTTTTTGAACCTCTGCAGTGGTTCTTGAAAAGTTAAATGTGAGAAAGTGAAATCCTGGAAGAGTTAATGTAAACCTGAGTGAGTTCATGGCTCAAGTATTTGGCAGAAGAGAAAAGGAATGTTGTCCTACCAGGGAGATAAGGTGGGGTTAGGAAAGAGTGTCTTGGGCAGGCAGGAGCTTTTCTGAACTAACTTCCTTATTTTGGGTAACTCTCTCTAATTTAGCCCAAGGGTATCCTAAAAGTCTGGTACCTCAGAGCTGGCAGTCCAGGACTGCCCTCTTGGGACCCTAAATGTCTTAGAGTGCCTCTTCCCAAATCTGGTAAGAGTTTTCTACTGAAATTTTCCTTTCTGCATTTATCTGAGGTAGCTCTGATTTTCAGTGCTGCAGTTTGTTGCAGCTGTTTAGTCAGTGGAACTGTCTCAGTTCTCAGTTCACTGCAGTTTACTACTTCAGCTGTACAGTTCTATCCAAAGTGATTTGATAATTCTTTAGTGTGTGTAGTAACATACAACAATAATGTAGTTCTGCTCCTCCATTACTCTGTGATTAGTGTTTACATCTCTTTGTTAATCCAGTCTTTCCCCTTCAAACCAAACCTGCTTCTGTGAGAAAATTGTCTAATTTTCTGTTTCAGTTGCCTGAAATAGAACCAGTGTTCAATTCAATATCACAACCTGGGAGTCAGAAAAAAAATTGGCTTCTTGTGGAAAGAAGTGATCCAGCAGCAAATTGGAAAAATGACTTGTCCCTGTGTTACAGAAGCAGTTTATAATGTGTATGAAATCTCTGACTTGGCATTCTTGATTATTCTGCTTCTTGTAGGTAGCTACAGTAGCTGAAGGCAAGGAGTGGTCCATTGAAACTTCTCCTGCCAGGAACTGGACCCCACCTCAGCCTAAAATGTCTCTGTCGTCTTCTCACCGGTACGTGCCCTGCTTACCCTGCTACTGTTGGTACAGATACAGCATCAGATACAGACACAGCATCAAAACCTGATGGCTTCATGTCTGCTGGGTTTACCCTGTTGGTGCTGGTGTCTGAACAAGCTGAAGTTTTGGAGTATGAGGTAGCAGGACTTTGGTTTTGTAATAATTCTCACCCCCTGCACCTGAGCCTTAAACCATGGCAGAGAGAAGTCAGTGAGAGCAGGGAAGAAGCCATGCTTGTTTTATCCTGATTTGTAATGCACCTGAAATTGGACATTTGTGTCACTCACAGGTAGTATGTGACATCCTCACCTTAGCTGTGGTGCTGTGCCAGTTTGGGGTTGGATGCCAGGGAAAAAGAAACAGACTTTTCCCTTCTGCTGCTAATTACCAGGGGAGCATCTGTACCACAGCAATTCTTTTGTTCTGCTTTTGCATGTAGTGTTTGTTACTGTGTGCGCTAAAGACCCTAGTTAACTGCAAAAGCAGCTGTAAATCAAAGGAACAAGAGCTTCATGCCTTTTAGTGGTTGCATTAGAGTTCCCTTCTTGATAGATGAAATAAATAGTCAATATCTAACCTGTATTATGGTGATATACATCAAGCTGTACTGCTGAGCTGGTGGGTTTTGCTTAACATGGCTTTGATTCTTCAATGTTTTATTTCAGTTCTGCTGGACAATCTCAGACTGCAACTGCCTCTTCTGACAAGGCTTTTGAAGACTGGTTAAATGATGATGTCAGCTCCTACCAAGGGTAGTGCAATATTTACTGACTTTCTGTGTGTCTCTCCGTTTAGCATAACAAAATGTTTGAAGCATTGAAGAAAAATTTTGTAACTTCAAATAGTATTGTGGTGGGTCCCAAACCAGGGAATTCTGATTGTATGTTGTACCTTACAGTGGTTTGAGTTAAACAGAGGCATTTATAAAGCTTCTTTCATTCCTTTTCTCATTTTCATGTGTCACTTTATTAGGATTTACTCAGCTTTCTGATGTCAGTGATTTGTTAAACCTGGAGAATCATTAAGACCACATTAGCTTCCACAGAGGAAATTGTATTGTGCTAGGATTCCTCAGTGGATCCTTGGTGTTTTGATGAAGTGAGTAGTTTTGTATTTTGGGTGCTGGGTCCTACTTTATTTTCCAGGTGCAAAAAACAATTGCCATCCTTCTGTGCTTTTCAGTTCTTGTTTAAAGTTTTTCGTGGCTGCATGCTGATACAAGGACTGTTTATTCCTCTTCCTGTGGCAGTGGCCAAGAGAATCGCTATGTGGGCTTTGGGAACACAGTAAACCCTCCAAAAAAAGAGGATGACTTCCTGAATAATGCCATGTCCTCGTTGTACTCGGTAAGGAATTGCTTGGAGCTTTCTGAATTACTGTTTTCTTCAGGTTTAACCCCTGGTATGGGAGAACATTAATGCAGAGGAGAAACTAAAGACTGCAGGTGGATATGGAGAGATGCAGAGTATTGGTTGTATTCTCAAAGAGTGAAGAAGATACTGGTGGACTTTAACAGGCAAAATGGAGAAACTTGAGCAGAATTTAATTATGTCTGGTATCAGTTCACAGAAATAAGTGAGGATATAGCAATGGATTAAGAAATAATAATCAAGGGGGCTGAAGGAAAAAAAATATAATTACCTGTAAGGAATAGCTCTAAATCTGTTAACCATATTAGGGATGTTCAGAGGAAAACAACTGAAATGTGTGTTTATGTGGGTGCCAGAAGCCCTGAGCAGTGATGAAAACATTTGAAATACTTGTGACAGGGTGTGAAGAGATAACAGCATATGGCTGAACAGTTGTCGTGATTCAAGTAGAGATAGTGAAAGATGTATTGTTGAAATAAAATGGGAATAAAGTCAGAGGCAGTCAGGGCCATACTGCTGCTTTGATAGGCTCAAAGTCACAGTGCTGAGCAATATTTGGGGTTTGGAGTCATATGGAAATACAGTAAGGTATTCTACCAAGGTTAGTGGCCAACAGCCCTCTGTAGAGCCTCACTACCTAAATACTCACACCAGGTTCCACTGTTTATTTAAAAATAAATAAATAGATAATTTCACTAGAACTTACCAGAGAAAAGTAATGCCTGAGCTTTTGAACAGGTTGATCACTATATTCCAGGTGATCCCACAGGTCAGCTAAATATTTTCTAGGTATCTCACAGTTTTAGGCCAAAGAGTTCAGATTAGAAAGCACATCTGCAGTGCGTTGCAGGTGAGCTAAGGCAGCCAAGGAGAGGCAGCACTGTTCTTGTTCCTGTGAGCCATTCTGTGAGTCCAGGATCTCCCTGAATATCCTGGCTGGAATGCCCTCGTGTGAGCACAAACACACATTGCAGTGTGTCCTGAAGCCCTGTATTTCTGGGAGGCTGAGTTCCTTGCATGGGTGTTCATCCTGGAGAGGAAAACAATTTGTCTTTCACTGCATAGGATGATTTTTCCCCATACTTGTACATATTTTTAGCAGAGTAACATCTGAAACACTCTGGCTCATTCAAATTCACACAAATACTGGAAGTTCATTACTATATTTCAGTTAAATGAGAGGCTGTAATTTTTCTTTCAGTAGTAGGTAGTTCTTACAACTACAGGACAAGCTGTATTAGAGCATTTTGACTTAAACTAGTCTGTTTTAATGAAAACTTGGTTATTTGTTCTTATTATTCATATGTAGCTCACAATTTTCTTGCTTTCTTTAAAGGGATGGAGCAGTTTTACAACTGGAGCAAGCAAAATTGCCTCAGCTGCTAAAGAGGGTGTAAGTAAATAAAATGTGGTTTAGTTAGCAGTGGAATGCCAGAGGTGGTATTAGGGGTATTCTGTGAAATTCTGACAAAGCTCCATTACCTTGGAGAGGATCATGCAGCATTTCTAAATGCATGGCTTTAAAAATCAAAGGGTTTATTCCAGGTAAACCTGCTTGTATTTGCTTCTCTTCACAGGCTACCAGATTTGGATCTCAAGCAAGTCAAAAGGTGATTATAGATTTAGCTCTTACTCCATCTAATTGTCTTTAAGTGCCATGTGTTTGCCTGCACCAATTGACTTAGATTTGATCATCAGCAGACCAGTGTGCTTTTCCTTCCTAGTGCACAGTAGTGTTTAGTTCTAGCTTTTAATTCCATGGGAATAGCAATCAGCTGCAGTGATCAAATTAAGCAAGAGATAAACAGGGATGCTCTGCTGTTTGTTCCTGTTGGATGTGTTGGAGAGGCTGCAGAGCTTGCAAACTTAACAAACCCGTGATTTACTTCTGTGAATCTTAAATGTGATCTAGATTGAAGCAGTTTTCTTTAGTGATGCAATACAATGCCAGCCAGCTTCCCATGGCTAAAGCCTAATAAGATGTTACAAGTGTGAACTGCTCAATATTATTAATAAATCAGCTTGCTTGTATGTGTTTTAAAAAGTAGCAATGACAAAAGGATTTTGTTTATCAAACTGGGGTTAAAACAGAGACAGATTACACAGAGCTCTGACATATGCAAGATCTGTCTGCAAGGACAAGTTTTAAATTCAAATGTAAAAGTGAAAAAAGAATGTGATTCCTAATTTGCCCAGTTCTGAGTGAGATGCAGATATTTATAGGTGTTCAGAGAGGTCTGTGCACTGGGATATTAATCCTTCAAATGGCTAAACTTGGGCATATTTGCAAGAAAATGTCTTGTTAAAGCACCCAAACATCCTACTTCAAAGCTTTGAAATTGCTTGGCTTAAGAAAAACTAAGTTTTCTCCAGGTCTTCCTCTTCACTCCCTCTGGCAGTTTTCCTTTTGTAATAAAAGCTGCCCTTTCTTTAGTATTATTAATAACTATAATATTAAGTTTAAAAGCTCATCACATCTACTGACAAGGACTACAGCAACATGATGCTCTACAGTCTAAGCTGTATTACTGAAGGTTAAATTTTGTTCCTTCTGACCCTTTGCAGAACAGATTTAACACATTTTTAATGCACTACATTGGTTAAAAGTTTATGTGGGGCCCAGTGATGAAACACATTCACTCTTTCTCTTGTCAGTAGATGTAAAAAGTTGAAAAAGGTTTATGATACTTAACTTGCCTGAAAAAATGCTGCCAATTTTTTGCTAAAAGCTGCTTCTACCTTCCTTGCTCTTTTCTCTTTTGCTCTCTGGGTAAAGTTTTGGGGCTACAAGCAGCAGCCAGAGCCGGTAACACCTCACATCTGTTCTTGTGCATGGACTCCTTGTCTGTTCGTGCTGAATATGTGCATTTGCTCCTGAGCTGTCTTTTCTTTCTCTGCCTTACATCAAGCCTGTTTAGAATAATGTTGTGTGTTTTGTATGGTAACATTTCTTCAGACCTACTTAAAATTTGTGAAGTTGGATAGAGATACCCAAGCTGTGCACTGTCTGAAAGTTGACTGTGCTTGCTGCTGTCCACACTCTGATGATTTCAGGATTTCTGTTTGCATGTCTGCCCCAGGAATGTGCCAAGAGCTGGGTGTTGCTGGAAGGCAGACACTTGGATGAGGTGTTTGTTATGGTGGTTAGAGTGCTGTCTTAAATTCAGCAATAGGAAGGAAGGATGAAGTGATTTAGATGAAAATACAGTTATACCCAAATCTTTCCATTCCACATCTACAAAATTATGTGGCTGAGTAAGAGATCAGATAAGAATTCTTCCTAATTCTAGCAGTGACTCCACTTGGACACCTGAACTGTTAGTCTGGGTGTGTTACACTCTTTATTACCAAACATAAACACTTTGCTGGGTTCAGTAGACTCCAGAGGGTTTTTCAAAGGTGAAAACACCCCTTTCTTGTTTTTCTTAAACACTTCATAGCCTCACTTCCAAAGATAGCAATCCCTTTGTGATTTGCATTCATGTTTCTCACTAGGTGGAAGTAGGATTTCCTTTTGCCTTTGCTTCTCAAAGAATTTTTATCCTGTGAGGAGTAGAAGTACTGGAGCTAATGGCTGGGAAAAGGGGAGATCCTGGGAATGCTGTGGCTTAGGGAAAAGCTTCTTACACCCCTGGGAGTCTGTGGAGGAAAGATGTTGAAGGTGCTCCATTCCCAAGAAGAACATGAGTAGCAATGGTAGTTATCAAATATAAACCCTTAGGAAATCAAACTTAATTCTTGGCATATTGGCCCTTTTGGATTAACCAGGAGAATTCTGGAGGCACTCAGTATGATATGGCACTTCCGAAGAAAGTTTAGATCTGTAAAGGGCTTTTCATAGTAGTAGGGCAAGGAGTGATTTCAGACTCTTCTAAACCTGCTGTCCTTGTCAGCTTTGCCTTAGCAAAGTAATTTTGTGACTTGGACTGTGGGCTTACATTTTTGTCAGCTGCCTCTGAACTACAATATCCTTGTGCATCTTGTTCTGGATTGCAACAGATTTCTGCAATTCATTGTTTTTTCTCCCTGCAAACCTGGAGCTTTAAAGAAAATAACAAAAATCTTCTGTCACAGCTTTAGTTCTTGTGTATTGCTTAGAAACACTTGGGCTTTTACTAACAGATGATAATTGAAGCACTACAAGACAGAGAAATTGGGGGGAAATCAGCCAAAAATATCTACTTCTATAAGTAATTTAATTAGTTTGGAAAAATAAGGGGGAATGAGGACAGTTCTTCCAAATATTCAGCTGCAGGCATTAACAAGGGGCCCATCCTCAAAACTGTTGCTGGTTGCACCATTGCTTCTGCTTCCAGTGCAAGGTCCGACTTTGCTTGGGCTCTGGGCATCTATTGCCATGTGTATCTGATTTTAATTTATTGTCTTTTAATGTCTTCTGCAGCACTTTGTGTGTGCTTTTCAGCTTTTCATTCTGCTTGTATGAATCAAAGCTAAAGCCTTCTTGTGTTTTTGGAGATAGTGCTGAGAAATGAGCCTGCAGAAGTTGTTGGCTGTGGGTTTTTATTGGGTTTTTTTTTTTTTTTTTGGTAAAGAAATTATAACTGACTTTGTTTTTGTTTTGCTTTTAAATAGGCATCAGAGTTAGGTCAGACATTAAATGAAAATGTTCTCAAACCTGCACAGGAAAAGGTAACTTTGGAACTAGTAAATGACTTGCAGAAAAATGCTTGTGCTCACTCAGGGAGTGGTTGATTCGTGCTGCCACAGCTGCCCAGGTTCTCAGGGGGTCTTTCTGTAAAAGGGAGACATCAAATAACTCCAAGTTAGGCTGTTATCAGAGAAATGTTAACGAGGGTAAAGTCCCTCCACCTACCTCTCTCATGTCCACCTGAGTCTGTCACATTCTCTCTTGTTAGGTACCAGTTTGTGGATTTCATGCTTTCAATAATGGAAGATGGAACAAGGGGAAAATGCACCCTAAATGGATATAAAATCAATTGTTTAAATATATATATATATATTTCTATCTATTAATAGTTGTATCTTGGAGTGTTAAGTTCCTAGTGTTTTACCTACCTGCCAGCTTTATTTTAATTCAGTCAAACATCTTGGAGCCATTTGAAGAGAATGTTTTAATCATATTGCAAACTAATTCCTCTTCCATTACCTTTATTAATTTACCATTCTTTACATGGCATTTCAAACCACAGGAGAAGACTAATTGGTTTTCTATTCCCTAGAATTATCCACAGCTTATTTCAGAGGGCTTAGATGCATTATTTTCAGGGTTATTTTTTAGGGTGCATTTCCTTGAGCTGCTTTTTATTTTGTAGGAAAATTTAATGAGAAATTATGCATTTTGTGTTAAAAAGAGATCCATTTCCCTTAGGATGTTGTGCTGTTAGTTCTAAATAAGTGTTACTTTCTGAAATAATTATTCTCTATATGGTTATACAAAATCACTTGCTTTGGAACAACTGCCATTTATTAAGTGGTGAAAGGTACCTGTTGTATTGTGTTCCACCAAAATTCAAAGCCCTTTTAATATTTAAATAAGCATCTATAAAAGGGATCTGCTATGTTTCTTAACACAATCCTTATATGCAGTGGAATATATTGATAAAGCTTCATGTTTGCAGATGTTTTTTGTACTTGTGTTTTATTGTTCAGCAGTAGTGTAATGATACCTGAACTGTGTTTAAATAATACCTTTCTCAAACTGGGTGTGATACCTTCCTCAACCTGGGTTTTTAGCCACAGAAAATTCCCACAAACTCACAGGACTGAGCTTCACTCTACTATAGATCAACAGACTTCATATATCATTTTCTTAACTTAGTTTTGACTTAAATCTGTTTTGATTCAGTTTGGGGTTGGGTTTTTTGACATTTTAGCTGTTAAGCACAAATGAGGCTGTTTTGAAGGTTTCAGTAATACTTTGTTTTATGACTAATTACCAATACTTTGGTCCACATAGGTGAAAGAGGGAAAAATATTTGAGGAGGTCACCACGGGGGTATCACAGTTGGCCAGCAAGGTATGAGGTGGCCTGCCTGGCTTTAAGGAGGCCAAACAAGTCAAGCCAGTCTCCATATTCTCATAAAAATAATACAAAACCCCAAAAATAATACAACCTCCCAAAGTGCAGCTTTGGTCTGTGCTTGTGCTGAATAGAGAAATTTGGAAAGTGGAATTTTTCAGCAGGAATTTTCTGTTGGGGTGTTTAAAGCTGCACAGGCATGATGGTGTTCTCTTAATAATTTGAATGAGGACTTGAGGTGGTTACAAACAGCAAAGAAAATGTGTGAGGGAATATGGAGACAGCTTGTGTTCCACTGGTACAGTAAAAGCTGCTAATGCTCTGCACCTTTCTCCTTTGCCTTCCGCTGCTCTCGGTGACGTGGTAAGTGTGGCTGAGGCTGCCAAGCACAGAAATCTGCACAAACTAACAGCTGCTGGGGTAACTTGCATGGTTTTACCCAGGAGTGTGTCTCTTCTAGCACTGGGACAGTCAGCACTGGGAACTCTCCCATAGACAAGCTCAGTGTCTTAGGTTTTGGTACTGTTTGAATAAAATAAAATAAATAATGTTACATGTTCTGTTTAGAGCCTGGAAACTCTCAGGCTGAATTCTGGGATTCATTCTCCCTGTCTCTGTCTCAGAATAGTGCCTTCCATGGTGTCACTTCAGAAGTTGTATTTCTAATCCAATTCTAGGACTCAACTTTAGGCCTGTTTTATGTGGGTAGTGAAATAATGCTGAAACAGAGTGAAAGTAGCTGTGTAGAGCAGTAGAAATATAAATACAAGTTACATTAATCATAAAACAGCAGTGCTTTCATTAAGTTTAATTTTATGTAAGGACTAATTCCAGTACTTTTGTCAAGGAAGTCTAGGAGAGGATTCAAAAGGTTGTTACAATTCCCACCTCTTCCATCAGCACAGTGCTGTCAAATGTATGTTCTTTACATCTACCATGTAACTGCCCATCAGAAACATTAATGAGCTCTGAGTTAAATGTGTTTGATTTATGGGAACAAGTGGAGGAATTTGTCTGGCTTTTGCTATTGCACTTGGCAGGGGTGTTGGTTCAGTCCAAATGAATGGAGTGTCTTTTTTTTTTCTTTAGGTTCAGGGAGTTGGGAGTAAGGGATGGAGAGATGTCACCACTTTCTTTTCAGGCAAAGCAGATGATAATTCTGACAGGTAATATTTGTTCTTGCTTTCTATCTCTTTGAACACATAATTTTATCTCCTGTATGTTCTCTGTAGTATAGTAGTGAAAGGTAATTTTTCAATATTAAGAACTTATTCTATAACTTTGCATATAACTGTTTTTAAACTGAGAACAAAGGAGTGCACATTATTTTGGATTAACACTTGCTCCACGTGCACATTCCCTTTCCCTGGGCTTGTTAATTCTCTGAACAAAATCTGTGAATTAGACAACAAGCTTATGTCATTTGGAGCAATATTTAGTTCTTCCTTTATCATCAAGGGTTTTTTTTTTAAGCAAAGAACAGAATTACAGTTTTCTTTGGGGTCATTTATTTTTATTGTTACATTTGTCATAACTAATTTATTTCTACCTTCCTTTCCCCCCCCATCCCCCAGTAGACCAGCTGAGGGAGACAGCTACCAGAACAGTGGAGGGGAGGGCTACCAGAACAATGCTGTAGATCAAAGCTTCTGGGATACCTTTGGCAACTCAGATGCACCAAAAGCTCATAAATCTCCAAGCAGTGAGAGCTGGACCTATGTGGACAATTCCACAGAGAAGAAGAGCTCGGATAGCTGGGACGTGTGGGGCTCGGGAACGGTCTCCAACAAGAACAGTAACAGCGACAGCTGGGAAAACTGGGAGACCAACTGGGAGAACACAGGAGGGGAGAGCAAGACCAGAAAACCTCCTAAGGCAACAAAAAATGCATGGGATGACTTTTAGAACTCTGTTAACCCTGCTCTGCACAGCTGGGAAAGGGAGGCTGTGCTGGTTGATGGAGGGGAGGAAGTTTTACACACACCTGGAGTATCATGGCTGACCTTTCTGATCTGTTTGTGCTTCCCATTCATTCTCCTTCCTTCTACCCTGGTATAGGGAAAAAAAAAGTAGCATCTGAATCTTTTCTTACATAATGGTGGCTCTCCCTTTTTTAAGGATAGTGATAAGTATATTCTCCTTACACTATTGGAGCTGGCTACAGCAACTTTCTTAACACAAATGTTAATGGAGAGAAACCAGTGCAAGGACACTTCCATGGCACAACCTTGCATGTGTAGGTTAATAGGTGTTCATCCAGTCCTCATCTGAGATTTGGGGTGTTTAATGCAAACAAAGGACAGGGTGTGACTTGGAAAGACAGCCATTAACTGGGCAAGCTGCAGTTGGATACATCAAGTTCTAATGCCTTATGGATTGCTCTGACTACAGGAGGTCTGGCAATTCAAGATGGTCTTTAACATATTTTTTATTGAAGCTTTGTTTTTAAACATTGTGACATTATTTTTTTTAGTAGTTGAAAACTTATTTTTCTCCTTTAGAATTCAGAAGGAATCTAGAGCTAGATAATAATTTGTGTAAACTTAAAGGATTGACCTGAGCTCTCAAGGGATATCCAGAATGGCTTTATTTGCCCACCTTACTCAATGGATTGAGTTTTCACTCAATTGTAGTTTCTGCTACACAGAAAAGCAAAGCTGGGGTGTTTTCCTTCCTCACCTATGCCCTTGCCCCAGTTTGAGTTTTTTATGTACCCTCTTTTTTTCTCTTTCTTCCTTCTACCTGTGTAGTATTTTATTAATGCTGTTAAAAAAATGAAGTCTTTCTGCTGCTTATGTCCTTCTGGACATCTGTTTGGCAACCTGGCAGCAAAAAAAAAATAATTATAAAGAAGATTCCAGCAAGAAAAAATGGGTGGAAAATACAACATTGAGGAAAAAGCCTGGCAGCAAGCCCCTTTCAAGATGAGTAGATGTCTGGATTTAATAGTAAAATTTAATTTAAGCAGATGTTTTCCAAACGGTTCTTTAGTGTGTCAGGCTGGATCTCTCTTTCTGTCATGTATTTCTCCACATTTTTTCCTGGATCTTGTTAAAGAAACACTGTTTTGGAATCATGAGAACCTCTTTGTCAGCATTAAGGACTGGAACAGGAGATTCAGTTATGTGTCAGTTTTGACCCAACAAATCTCTTTGCATGACACAAACCATAACTTCTGGAGAAGAATTGTGACTTTTAACATCAGAGGTATCATAGGTATCCCATTTTATTTTGGGGGATGGGTTGTGAATGTACCCTCAGCACGAAAACAATCAGCTCACTTGAAAACTCAAATCATGGTGTTTTCTGTGGTCTGCTTTTCCAGCGTGGAGTTATTTCTGTGAACCCTGTAGATCCTAAAAAGCCTTTTCTTTTTAAAACTGGTTAGTTTGTTCAACAACCAACTGAAGGTGTCAAAGTTACCTTAAATAACACTCCACTTCTTTTACTTCTCACAGGGGTTTTTGAGCAGATAGTAATATCAACAGTTTAAAAAGGAAAGAAAATTAATTTCCTCATAAGTAGCAGATTTTAAAGGCTTAAGTCTGAGTAGAAGTAGCTCTGTTTACAGCCTGAGTCTGTATTTCTACTCCCAGGATCTTTCAGATGGTGAACAGAATATTTTTTCCAGTCTCCTCTCACCCTGTTCTGTGAGAGTTGGGATTTCTTTTTCCCCCTTGCCTCTCCTGAGAGCGTGGTCTGAAGCTCGTGGTCTCTGAGCCTCTGCACACCCAGAGCTGCTCAGAGCCAAGTGCTGCTCCAGGCTGAGCCATTCCCAGGGTGTCCCTGCTGCCACAGACCCTGTGGAAGTGCCAAAGGCACGAGAGCTCTTGGTTTGCAGTGCTGCTCATGGAACCATTGGCAGCAGTTCACAGCCTGACTAAAACAAGGAATTTTTTCTACTTTTTCTCCAGTTCCAAGTATAACTTTGTCATAGCTTAGCTGCATGTCAAACATAACTTTGGTTTTTTATGCTTACACCTCTGTTGCCTCCTTGTCAATGTGTCTGCTCCCCAGTCTGAAGCTGGTTCAGCTTTTGTATAAGTTTATTACAGTTTCTCTTTCATAAACCTCCTGAAATGGCTTGTGGCAGGAGAATCTTTATTTCAGCCCACTCAATCAGTGGTATTATGATGTGTGTGTGCATGTTCTCCTCACCTGTGAGCTTTGCCTGGGACAAAAGTGATTTATTTATGTATCACTTGCAGCCACGATTGGCATGAGCCATTTGTTTGTTCTTCTGATTTGATTTTTGTATCTTTTGAAACTTTTATGTTCTAAATCAAACAGCCAGAGCCCTGCTCAAGCAGAAGCTTTGGGTAAGGATTTTTCCTCCAGTTGAGGAGACAGGGACAGAGCAGTTGCTATCTCTCTTTCTGCAGTGTTGCAGGGAAGCAACAAAATGCTACAACTGGCAGAAAGATGTTACTGGGAGATCCAGATAAACCAATATAATGGCAGAAGGTGTAACTGCAGACACAAACCAGTGTGCCAGCTGGTCAGTTTGATGGGCATTTTTTAATGACTTATCTGAGCCTGAATGTGTCATCATGCCTTCCAGAGGAGAGGACAAAACAAAGACATTTTCTTTTTTTGCACACCAACTGTTTTATTGAATTTTACTTATTTTCAGAGTAGGTGGCTGGGAGGTTTCTGCACTGTGAAGAAAATCCCATCGAGTTGCATGTGCGGAGCAAGTGTTTATGAATCAAACTTTTTTAATTTTTAATTCCTCCTCCTCCTCTCCCCAAATCCTCCCCTTTTGTCCTGATGAGGAGCAGAGGCATTGAGTGCAGGCTGCTGGAGCTGAGGCTGCCTGGATCCAGCCATGAATCTGAGCGTGTGGGGTGGCAGGGCTGTGGTGGCACCATGGGCTCTGCTCCCTCTCATCCCACTCCCTGAGTCACAGGTTTAGGTCATACAAACTGCCAGGAGATGTGCAGGAGATGAAATTGCTGCACCAATTGGACATTGCAATGTCTGGTTCAAATCTGGGGACCAGCTTTTATTTCTCTGTATGGCTTCAGCTTTGGAAAATACAGAACAGCTGGATTCCTGCAGGTAGTCTGATACAAGAAAAATGTCAAGAAATCAAACTAAGTGCCACTTGCAAAACAGTGAAAGTCTTGGAGAGTGCTCCCAAACATAATCCTGGGAATTAGGGATTATTTTTAAATGTTTTATTTGTGTTTTGAAACCTGTTAATAATTAGTACAATTCAAGAAGTGCTTGGCCAGCTCTCCCTCAAGGATAATGCTGCTGCTTTTATTTTCCAGGCCAGACTGTAACATTCCATGGGTTCATAATGTACTTGTCAGTGTAATGGTCTGTGCAATAATTTAACAAGTGTAGATAAAACCTTTGTTTAATCCAGGATACATTTAAAGATACAGTGGTCCTCTTGGAGAGTAGCAGTCTACACAGCTTATTTTGGCTGAAATACTAAATTTCAGTGACCCAGGTAAAGGTTTGAGCAATCAGTGATTTAAACAGAAATCAAGAAAGATTTCCATGATCATTATTAAGAGTTTGATCCTAATGGCTGAGTGGCCTCTAGCTGCAGAACCCTCTTTCATTTCCATGCCAGCAGAAACTTGGTCAGTCTGGAGTACTGTATCTTTAATTTTCCTGCTGTGTTTTTTTGTGAAGTTCACAGGAATGGTGATTTCAGTGAACACTATTCATTGTTCTGTAGAGTGGTTCTGGACTTGAACTGCAGTGTCATCTTTTAAAGAGTATTCTAATAAAGCAAAGAGATCTGGAGCAGAACGGTGGTCAGCCCTTTTTCAGGAGACTTCAGTTAATTTTCAACCCAGGTGCTGGTGTCAGGAATATTCTTCCCTGGCAGTAACAAAGGAGAAAGGAAGCTGCCAACATTAATAGAGCCAAAAACTTCTTTGTATTTCATTGGAGTTTCACAGTCTAACTTCAGACTCTTACTTAGGAGCAGTTTGGAGACATTGTTTGCCTCCTTATTTAAGGAGAACTATAAATAGAAATTAAAGTGCAGATAAATTTATGTACTCTGAAATTTTTATTAGCTGTCTACAGAGGCACTTATTACAGCAGAAAAAGGTAACTTTTAAAGCAGTTTTCCTGCAAGAAGCAAGAGTTCTCTGACAAATCCTTCAGCTGTGGTGGGCTTCCACATTCAGATTCCAGTTTCCTCCATGAGCCAAACAGCCATGTGAGTACTCCAGATGACTGCACTTGGCCTTGTACAAATTTAAAGTATCTTCTATTATGTTCTTGGTCAGCAGGACTGAATTCTACTTGCTGTGTAGAGGCAGTTTTACTGATTTTTACACCAAAAAAGCCATTTGTGTTTGATAACATCACTGCTCTTATTCCACAGACAGGCTGTGTCCATTCTTCCTATAAGGGCTGCTGTGTGGGGTGCAAAGTTTTCACATGGGATTACTGAAAGTAAACAGCACATGCTGGTTCTGGAGAGAGGATTTGGGCCCTTTATTCTCTGAACACCCAGAGTTAATGACCTAAAACCAAAACACCAAGGAAGCGGTGATGTGTGTTCTGGATTTCAGACTGAGCACAGTCAGTAAAAGCTGATAGAAAAAGGGGAATCTAGACCAGAAAACAAAGCAGAAGACACAAGGCTTGGACTTGAGGGAGGACAGGTCAGTGCTGCATTGCCATGTCCCACTCTGTGCTCTGATCCCAGACCAGCAGCAAGTGCCATTGTTGATCTGTGTAGGTGTCCTCCAAGGCAGATGCAGGCTCAGAAGTGACTCTGGGCTCACTCACTCCACACAACCAAACACTCATGGCCTCTGAGGTGTGGAGCAGGCACTGGGGATGTGTCCTGCTTTCCCTCCTCATGCTCTTCTCCTGTTCCAGAGGGTTTGTCCACAGCAGCCATCTGCAGCAAGTTTGGGTCAGCAGCTTCACCATCACCCCTCCAAACTCCACAGGAACCCCCTGAGGCTCTGCAGCTGCCCACTGCTTTGGCAGAGGTTTGCAGGATGCAGCCATGGAGCGAAAACTGAAAATCCCATGAGAAAAACATGACGGAGCTGTGCTGTCCTGTGGGGAAGCTGTAAACCCTGCTGCTCTGTCAGCTCTGCAGTGTGATCATTCCTGCTGGTCAGTCACTGATTTGCAGGAGGCCAGGAGAGGCTGCCTGGCCGTGTCAGCTCCAGCCATTTGTGCTCTGTCAGCAAGGAGCTGCATCTCCTCAGGAAGGCAGGAAAAGAAAGGTCAGCTCGTGCTTTGAGCAAGGCACTGATGTTTGCTTTAGGTGAGATGAAACCACCCTGCATTTATCCTCAAGTGCTGCTTTGCCTCCAATGTGAATTTCACCAACACTGCCCTGATGGCAATGTTTAAACTGGCTAAAAAACAGAAGAGATGAAAAAAATACTGAAAAGATCTCCTAGGAGAAGCCTCCGTGTACTTGGAGTTGCTGAGAATGAGTGGGAGAGACCGAGTCTCTGGCAGGGCTGGCTGCAAGCACTGCCAAGAACAGTCATGTTGTACCTCACCAGGATCATGACTGCTGCTCCAGCAGGAAAATCCAGTGCTATCAGCTCTGCACAATTTGGAAACCAGTTCTTGTCTGTCCCTATAAGCCCTGCCAAAGTGTGCTCCCTCAGAGAGGCTGCTCAGCGTGGCTGAGGCTGGTGAATTTTACAATAGATAAATCAGCTTCTGCCAGGAAAGGCAGAAAGGCTGGAGTGTGTCTTTTATGAAAAAAATTCACCACTTCTGATTGAGATTGGTATCAGCAGTTTGCACTGGATTGCTCATCTTGCCTTCAATGGAATGGTGTTTTACTACCTAGGGCAAAACCCACTTGTGTATACATTTTTTCCCCTACTCTGCT